TTTTTCATGTGGTGCTGGGGATCTAACCCAGTGCCTTACACATGCTAGACAAGTGCTCTACTACTGAGCCACAACCCCGGCCTGCCCCAGCCCTTTTTTATTTTAAGATGGGGTCTTACTAAACCTGCACCACCACGCTCAGCTTCCTTGCTCCTTTTAAAAGGCTAGTACTAGGGCTGGGGATGTGGCTCAAGCAGTAGCGAACTCGCCCAGGTTCAATCCTTAGCACCACATACAAAGATGTTGTGTCGGCCAAAAACTAAAAAATAAATATTAAAATTAAAAAAAAAAAAGGCTAGTACTAGCCTAATATCAAAACCAAATAAAATGCTGGGCATGGTGGTGCATCCCTGTAATCCCAGGAGCTTGGGAGGCAGGACAATCTCGAGTTCAAAGCCAGCCTCAGCAACTTAGCAAGGCCCTAAGCAACTCAGTGAGACTCTGTCTCTAACTAAAATACGAAAAAGGGCTGGAGATGTGGCTCAGTGGTTAAGCACCCCAGGTTCGATCCTTGGTATCAAAAAAAAAAGAAAAGAAAAAAAAAAGACATAAGAAAATTTCCAACAAAAGCCCCAACACCAAAAGACTAAATTAAAAACAAAACTGTGTGTTTGGTGCTGGGATCAAACCATGGTCTGTGCATGATAAGTAAACACTCTACCACTGAACTATATCCCCAGCCCCAAAACAAAACTTTCAACTGACACTTCAAAAAGATGATACAGGTTATGTATTCCTTAACTGAAAATCCAAAATCCAAAATGCTCTGAAATCTAAAATCTGAATACTGACATGACACTGAAGGTGGAAAATTCCACACTGGTGACAAGTCAGTCAAAACACAGGCACAATAAAAACAGTATATAAAAGGGGGCTGGAGTCATGGCTCAGTGATAGAGCACTTGTCTAGTATGTGTGAGGCGCTGGGTTTGATTCTCAGCACAATATATAAATAAAATAAGTAAATAAACAAAGGTCCATCAACAACTAAAAAAAGACTATAGGGGGCTGGGGATGTGGCTCAAGCAGTAGCGCACTAGCCTGGCATGCGTGCGGCCCGGGTTCGATCCTCAGCAACACATACAAAGATTGTGTCCGCCGAAAACTAAAAAATAAATAAATATATTTTTTAAAAAAATTCATTTAAAAAAAAAAGACTATAAAAAAAGATTTGGGCTATGTGTATAGGCTACATATGAAATATAAATGGATATGGTGTTAGGCTTGGGATAGCTGAGATAGCTTATTACTTACATGCAAAAATTAATAAATAAAAAGCAAACAAAACCTGAAATCTGAAACACTTCTGACCCTGAGCATTTCAGATAAGGGATATTCAACCTGTATTATGAATGGCCACTGAGTAAATGAAAAGAAGTTCAATATCAATAGTCATCATGGAAATTCTAATTAAAATTAAAATGACATGGGCTAGGATTGTGGCTCAGTGGTACAGCGCTCGCTTAGCACATGCGAGGCCCTGGGTTCGATCCTCAGCACCACGTAAAAATAAATAAATTAAGGTATTATGGCCAATTACAACTAAAAAAATAAATATTTTAAAAATAAATAAAATTTTTTTAAAAAATTAAAATGACATACCTATAAATGCCTGAGAAACTAAGTAGACTGACAATACTAAATCTAAATGCAAGCATGGGTGAAAAACAAAAGGAACTTTATACTGCTGGGAGGTAGGGATGTGATAAGTAAGGAGTGTGGTACAATCACTCTGGAAAATAGTTTTCTTTTTTTTTTTTTTGGGGGGGGGGGGTGCTGGGGATTGAACCCAGGGCCTTGTACATGTGAGGCAAGCACTCTACCAACTGAGCTATATCCCCAGCCCAGTTGGAAAATAGTTTTCGGTTATAAATTTAACATGCACTTACTGTATGACTTAGCAGTTCTATTTTCTATTATATGATCCAGTATTTACCCAAGAGAATGAAAACATAAGACTATGTAAATCAATGTTTACAGATGCTGTGTGTGAGAGAGAGAAAAAAATAGAGAGACACACACACTAGAGATTGAAACCAAGGCTGCTCTATCACTAAGCTACATTCCTGGCTCTTTTTATTTCTGATTTTTTATTTATTTATTTTTATATACATATATTTTTTCCCTTGGTGGATATTGATTTATATGTGGTGCTGAGAATTAAGCCCAATGCCCCACACATACTAGGCAAGCACTCTACCACTGAGCCACAACACCCCCGCCCTATTTCTTATTTAGAGACAGGGTCTCATTAAGTTGCCCAGGCTGGCCTCAGACTTACAATCTTCCTACCTCAGCCTCCCAAGTAGCTGGGATTACAGGAATGTGCCACCACGCTGAGTGATGCTTTATTCTTAATAGCCTTAACCCACACATTCATCAACAAAGGATTAAAAAAAAAATTGGTATTTCTTACAATAGAATACTAATTGGAAATAAAAAGGAAAAACTACCGATATATTAAATAGGGAAGAGAGCTGTGGTATAGCTCAATGGTAGAATTTGTGCTTTGAAAGCATAGATTCTGGGTTCTGTTTCCTGCGCACGAACACACGCACACAAACCCAAAAACGACAACAAAAAAAGTAATAATTTCAAAAGAATATGCTGAATAAAAAAGGAAAACATGCAAAACAAAACAAAAACCAGTAGAATCTACATAGACTCCTATTCTATGAAGCCTAGAAAAAAATCAACTCATTTATCAGTGATTATACAGATCAGTAATTATAAAGGGTCCTAAGTGGTGAGGCAGACTACAAAGGAACATGAAGGAACTTGGGAATGACGGAAATGCTCTTGATTCTGGGTTAGGGTGATGGTTATACCGGCATCATATATCAAAACTCATACTATACAGTAAAAAAATAGTGCGTTTTGTATATGTAAATAAAGCAGATTTACAAAGTAAACAAGTGGTAAGGCACTTTTGTAGACAAAAAACTTTATCTCTGACATCGTTTCTAACAAATGCCAAATGTCTTCTTTGATATAAGGAGAGTAACTAAGAACAGAGTAGGGACGAAGAGCAGGAGAAGAAGACTAACATTAAACAGGGATGAGAGGTGGGAGGGAAAGGGAGAGAGAAGGGAAACTGCATGGAAATGGAAGGAGACCCTCAGGGTTATACAAAAGTACATACAAGAGGAAGTGAGGGGAAAGGGAAAAATAATACAAGGGGGAGAAATGAATGATAGTAGAGGGGGTAGAGAGAGAAGAGGGGAGGGGAGGGGAGGGGAGGGGGGATAGTAGAGGATAGGAAAGGCAGCAGAACACAACAGACACTAGAGTATGGCAATATGTAAATCAATGGATGTGTAACTGATGTAATTCTGCAATCTGTATATGGGGTAAAAATGGGAGTTCATAACCCACTTGAATCAAAGTGCGAAATATGATATATTAAGAAATTTGTAATGTTTTGAACAACCAACAATAAAAAATTTAAAAAAAAAGAACATAATAATTTCTGAAATATTTAGAAGATAAAAAAAATGGCAATAGGAAAAAGGAAATTTACAAAGAAAATAAATGAATGCAAAAATGCAAAGATGATGAACTTCACTACTAATCTAGCTAGTGGATGAAATTTTTCACTCAAAAGATTGGTGTTTGAATGTGAGAATGATCTACCTGTGACATCTGTCACCCCACTGACTACCAGGATTGATTCGGCTGACCGCTCCATGTACATCCCTCTGAATGCTGGGCACTTCGTAAAAGAGGACCAACCTTCTCGGATAAAAGAAGATGGTTCTTTAGTCAAGGGCATATGAGTAGCTGTGCTCCCCTGATAGAACCTCCAAACAAGCTCTCAAGATTGGTGTTCAGTAGTATCAAATAATGGTATACCTTTATGAGATAATGCAAGCAGGAGTATTGACTAACAGAAATCCTACAATGTACTATAACTATGGAGACTTAAAAGAATACATAGTGAATACGTACTCTAATACTTAACAATCTACTGCTTATTTTCTGCCCTAAATAAATGTATATGCAAATAAGAAGGCATGAACAGAGATACCCACTAAATAAATGTTTACAGCAATGAAAACTTGGTAAAAACTTAAATATCAAACTAGGATACACACACACACACACACACACACACTTCTCTCTCTCTCTCTCTCTCTCTCTCTCTAGATGAGTTAAAAGAAAAAAAACACCTTTACATGTAATAACATGGAAAGGTCTTCAAGACTATTGCTGACTGACTAATGATATAAAAACAATGTAGAAATAAATGATAAAATAGCTATATGTAATGATTACATACAAATAAATATATGTAGGTAAATGCTTATTAAAAAGACTTGCACTGGTGAGATGAAGGGGCAAGAATGGGGGAAAGACTATTATCATAGGTCCTGGTCAAATTTTTCACATACAGAATGTATTTTTATATTATTTGTGTAAGCATAAATTAATGTTAAAAATTAATCTAGTTTTAGATGGACTTGAAATTGTTGTTTGAGGACCTTTTTCAAAAAAAGTTTTTTTAGTTTTCTTTTTAGTTGCTGACAGACCTTTATTTTATTTATTTATATGCGGTGCTGAGAATTGAACCAAGTGGCTCATGCATGCCAAGCAAGTGTACTACTGCTGAGCCACAGCCCCAGCCCGAGGACCTTTTTCCATATATGTAAGTATACTTGCTATGTTCTATGGAAAAGGGCTCCTCGGTCAACAGTTTGAGAAGCCCTTACACCTGTGGCCTATAATACCACAATAGTTTGCAATAGATATTGATGCCTTTTAAGTTTTTTCCCTCATATTGTCTACTAAGTTTTCTTAAGTACCTTTCAATTCAAATGATCTCAATTCCATTACCCTGTTTAAATTTCTCTATGGCAAATTGTCACTATCTGAACTTACCTATTTAGTCACTTATTTACTATCTCCCACTAGAGTGAGAATGACAATTGTGAACTCATATAACTTTAATTGAGCCACTTAGGCTTTTCTTACATTATCAAATATATACTTTATTTACTTACCTTAGTTGGAAAAGGAAATTTGGAAGGTTCTGTTTTGCATGGTGTATGAATAGCCGTTAGAGGGGGAGGCCATGAATGCGTCATCTCCTGAAACGTAATTATTACAGTTTGTTTTCAACCAGATCAAGGATAAAAACCTATACAGCTAAAAAACCAGATTTGTACTTATACATACTGGTTTCATGAATGCTCCTCCAAAATTATACATATTTAGTCAATAAGTACTAATGAAGCACAACTGTGTGCAAGTCACTATGAGGCTAATAATATGAAGGTAAGTAATAAATTCTCCCTGGCTTCAAGGAGTTTACAGTTATGATGATGAAATCTCAATAGATACAGAAAGCAGCCTGTAATCAAATACAAGGCACATAATAAAACACTACTAAATAAGAGTTTGTTGTGGGAATGGGAGGAAGAGGATAATGATAAGAAAAACAGCTAATATTTATTGTGTACCTTTAAGGGACCAGACACTGTGCTAAGTGTTTTACATATCTGTTACTCATTTAATACTCACAAAGCCATTATGAGGTAGATACCATTATTATCCTGTCTCTCTTTAGGATGACACTGAAGCACAAAGGTTGCTTATTCAAGGTTACACACTTAATAAGTAATGGACACAGAATTACTCCTTAGGAACCTGACTACAGAGCCCATGTGCTGATAGGAAAATTTGGTCAGGTGAGAAAATCAGAAGGGAGATTTCAAAAGCACATGAGGAGGAAAACAGACACGCAAAAGACCCTAAGTCTGATTTCATTCACTGCTTTCTCTCTAATCATGCCAAATATGTCCAAGTGGGGTTTAGATTAGATCACAATTAGTATGTTAGAGAAGCAAGTGGGAGAGAAATATCAAACTTAGATAAGAAAGGAGTGTTTTATTTTTGGCATTTAGTTCAAAGTAAGTCATCAGGTAAATTAAAGGTAGTAAAATAATACTTAAGAATTTATCCAACAACTAAGCTGTAACCATAGTTGTGTAAAGATAAAAATTTCTAGGCCCCACACTTATAAGAGAGATTGTTAAATCTAGGTATCCAAAGTGACTAGATAGATTAGCCAACATCCATACAATGAAATACCAAGCAGACACTAAAATGAGAGATTTAACCACTGATATGAAATGATGTCCACAGTATACTGTTAGTGACAAACACAAATCATAATCCTATGTAAATGTTTATACATTTTAAAAAATGTATGGAAGGACAGTTAACTCTGGCTGCCCTTGCACAGAAGAATGACAAGAAGGGGGAAGAGACAAGGGTATATGATACAGTGTCTACTTGAACCTCTTAAAACAGTCACCTGCACATAATTGTTTTTTATGCTTTTACGATGCTTATTATTTCCTACATCCAGCTCTAGAATGTCAGCTCAAAAGGTACAACTATCATTATCACCACTGTATCTCCAGTGCTTGACACATAATAGGTAGTAAATTAGCACGCTTTGAATTAAAACCTCAAATTTTTTTCCAACAAATACACATACTTCTAGAATAAAATTTTTCCTTAAATTCATAATGAGATTTATACAAATCAAGTGGAAATAAAAAATCTGAAGGAAACTTGGACCTGAAGTTCCTTGCACACCGAAGACAGGGAAGGGGAAACAGAAATTCATGTCCCTCAGGTTTTTAGCATTGGCATTTAGTATCTCAATTACTAAAACACTCCCTATTGAAACCTATTTAACTATCATCAAGTGACTAAGCACCTATTACACACAGGGCCATGAGGCAAGCTCCATATATGTAAAATGTAGAATAAATATTGATCAGTAACATCAAAGAAATAATTAAATACAAAAAAATCTCCAGGTATTAAAATTCCATGCATTGTTGAGACACCGGAAAAAAAAAAATGTTAAGTAAGATTCAAAGGAAAGAGTTATCACTGTGGTCTGATCTAGTAGGAAGAAGGATTTCATAGGGATTCTAAGGAAAAAGAGGATCTATATACTAACGAGGAAGAAGGAGAAGCACATTCCAAAAAAAGCTTACTTTAAGGAAGTAAAAAAGCAAGAAAGTTTGATTTAGGGAAACCAGTTAGTCAAAAATACTTCATTAGTACTAGGAGAGGTTAGGACTAGCCCCAGGGAAGGCCTGGAATGTTAAGTTTGAACATAATTATTTCTATGAGTCTTTCAGAACCAATGAAAATTCTAAGGAAAAAAAAATAAATTATAAAGACCAGAAAATGAAGTAAAGAATCTGGAAGCAATGCAGAAGACAGATAAATAGATGAGAGTGTGAGACTGTTACCAATTACTGAAGCTCAAGGTGGCAGAAACAGAAGGAAAGGAGTGGGTATGTTCAAGGAAATTTCAAAGTCTACACCTAGTTTTGGGATTAAATTTAAAGAAAGGAAGAAACTAGAGATAACCAGGATTCTACATGTAGAAGCATGAGAGAATCTAGGGAAGTCCCTAAATACAACTTTAGACATTTTGAGACTGAAGCAGCAAAGAGAAATTAAAATGTAGCCCTGTCAAGAAGTAATTAAGGGACATAAATCAAACCCAAAGACGACCAAAGCAAGAAAGAAAGACTGAATAGCTGTCTAACGAAGCCAAGAATGGTAGAAAAGGTAGGTAAAAGTGCAGGAAGAGAAGAGTCTAGAAGAATGCATCCATACTTAGAAGATAAGAAAAGACACAAGGCTTCCTAAAAGGCAGATAAAGAAAGAAAAGGAAGATGAGTGGGAAATATAAATAATTAAGTATAACAGAAGTCAAGGAAAAAAGAGGGTAAAGAAAATAAGAACTTAATTTAAGTCTTTGGATGAAAGAAAAAAATGACTTGGGAGATTACAATAACTAACAGAAGAAATGGGAGAGAAGATGGTAGGAACAGCCAACACAGGCAGTCTCCAAAGTATCCACAGTAAAATGCAAAATGCAGCTCATAAAAAACAAAAAATACTAGTAACATGTGACTGACAGTTTTCTCCTATGAGCAAAAAGCAGTCATTGTCACTTACTTAATTCACCAGAATTTCTTTTTCCTACCAAAAAATGTATTTTATTTGGTCATGTGCAGATTTTAAATTTATTCAGCAAACATTTACAATGTACAGTACTCAGGATGCTTTTTATCAAAGGATTTGACAAGTATGTTCAGATGAATTACAAAGCAAGCTATTTTCAACATGTGAATGGCTTAATTGATAAATATTGAGTTTTTTTAACATTTCAAATTATTAACTGATAATAACCCTGAGAAAATGTAGCTATATTTGGTTTCTTCTTCCTCTTTTCAAGGCAGACTGAGAATATAGTTTGTTTTACTGAAAAACAAAGCCAACTCTTTGAAGGCAAACAGAAAACAAACCATGTGATTGAGAACCTAAGTATAAGCAGAATAGAGTCAATTATTTATGATGGACATAATCAAGTTACACATATAAGCAATCTGTTCCTTCCGATCCTTTGTGAAACCTAGGTAAAAGGAAATAGAAGGGGGAAGAACATCATAATCACACAAAAGAATTAAATGATTAAAAAAAAAAAAAACTTACTTTAAGAATTTCATCCACACAGCTCACATCACCAGAAGCTGATGCCTTCAGAAGGAAAAAAAAACATACATTAGATTTGAAGTAATATATTACTAGACTTTTAGTATTTACTGCAGATTTTAAATCATTAGACATTATATAAAATTTAATATTTATTTTTTAGTTATCGGCGGATACAACATCCTTGTTTGTATGTGGTGCTGAGGATCGAACCCGGGTCGCACGCATGCCAGGCGAGTGCACTACCGCTTGAGCCACATCCCCAGCCCCCATTATATAAAATTTAAAGAAATATTTATGAGGGCTGGGGATGTGGCTCAAGCAGTAGCGCGCTCGCCTGGCATGCATGCGGCCCAGGTTGGATCCTCAGCACCACATACAAAGATGTTGTGTCCGCTGATAATTAAAATATTAAAAAATTCTCTCTCTCTCTCTCTCGTTAAAAAAAAAAAAAATTTATGATCCTACTACTTTAAATCAAAATACTTAGAATCTTTAGACTAATGTCCTAATTCAAATTTTTTAAGCACTAGAAAATTCTAGCTATATAGTCTGGGGAACTTTATAGTTTTTCAAAGATTTTTTAAATTTTGTATTTATTATACTTTAAATAATTTAAATAATTCTTAAAATGAAAATTTTAAAATGAATTTTTTAGGTGAGCAGCTTATCCAGAATTTGAAAGTTCAATAATATACAAAATAATCATAATACTGAATATCACATTACAGACACAAAAGAATTAAAAACAAACATTACTGAAAGACTATTGGTCTGGAACACAACAGACATTTTATTTTACATAGTTGATCTTAAATTATTTGTGCCTTATTCTCAGGTACAAAGAGGAATTAAAGAGTTGAACTTAAGTCTAACTCTAAGGATGATGCTGTTTGAAGAAAGAATAAATTACCACTTTACAGTTCTCTGAAGAGAAATAATTAGGTGACAAATGAAACTAACATTGATTTTCTCAAGGCCACAGGAAAGACTAAATGTTCTCAAAACTGTGTTTTATGTATCCCTGACTCTTCCCACCACTATTTTGAGCTATGAGCTAAGATTTTTGACTACTGACATTATTATTTTTTAATTTTTTTATTATAGAAACTACATTTTAAAGATAAAATTTCAGCCAAGCATGGTGGCACGTGCCTATAAAACCAGCGACTTGGGAGACTGAGGCAGGAAGATCACAGATTCAAAGCCAGCCTCAGCAAAAGCAAGGCACTAGGCACTCAGTGAGACACTAACTCTAAATATAAAAATACAAAATAGGGCTGAGGATGTGGCTCAGAAGTTGAGTGCCCCTGGAGTTCAATCCCTAGTACAAAAAAAAAAAATAAAAATAAAAATAAAATTCCAGCTATTTCATAATAAATACTCACTTTTTTCGTATTATTATTATTATTATTAGTAGTAGTAGTAGTAGTATTCTAAACATCATGTTTTGGTATTCAGAATGATAGCATCCAAACTACATATTCCCACTGCCATGGACCTAGAAGCCCAACCATTTACCACCATGAACCACAGCCTGAGTTATCACTAAAAAATAGAGATTTTTTTTTTTTAAATACAAAAGAAAACAGGGTATATTCCATAAACTCAAAAGCAAGAAATCTAAGGTACTGATGGATAATGTTTTCATTCTATAACTGACTTGACATCTTAATATTTGAAATGACACTTTCTATAATTCCCAAGAGGGGAAGCTCATAGCTTTATGACTCCCATTTGGGAGTCAACAAATAAGCCTTTCCTTAATCCTACTTCCATCCCCATCTTTAAATATATTCCTTGCTACTCAGGTAAAAAGACAACTCAAGTTCACTCATTATTTCATAGTCAATTATTTCACATAGTAACAAAATTCAAAGCTCCAAATATGTGACTTACATCCAGTGGTTGGGAAGGTATTTTCAGCTTGGTAAGATGTGCTTTGCTGCTGGGCTTCAGCTCAGTCATGCTGTTGCCATGGGATTGGCTGCTGTAGTGCTCAGAGGATAGCTTTGGTTCCATGGACTCCTGTCCATCCATGGGCCGCACATACGCAGTGGGTTTCTGTAACATTGAACTGGACTTTGACATCAACGAAGGTGGGAAAGACTGATTTGAGTGCTGCCCACTTGAAAAAGGTACTCGGGAAGGAGAATCCCAATTGGCATCGGGATCCCTAGGTGATTTGGAACGCTGATGTTCCTTGCTATGATGATCATTTCCATGAGACCTGGAATGACTAGAGCTTAATGAAGAAACAGCCTGGGGTTTTCCAGGGCTAGAAGATCGTGATTTGGAGTGTTCTGATCCATGCTGGCTTTTTTTCCGGCTACTGCTATATGAGTCACGGTCATGCCTCTGGCCGGTACTATTAGTGGCACTGCTACTGCCTGCACTGGTCCTCTGGCTACTATGTCCACTCTGTAAGCCTGAGGACCGTTTTTGAGACTGAGAAGTGCTGGGTGCAGGTCCTACTGGAGTCCACTTGCTACTCTGATGAGAGCCTCCATGTCTCTGTTCAAAGAAATTTGGGTTTGATTTTTCATCTGCTGTCGGTGGTACAGTAGGCTTGGGAATTGCAACAAGCTTCGGTATTGATCTGTCTCCTATGAAATCCTTCATTTCATCGTAGTTTCCAAGCATACTCTGAATACGACTTGATAACTTATCTTCTTTGCTAGTCTGCAAAAAAGTGTAAAATTAAATACATTATTAGCATAATCAGGAATAAAATATGCTTTTAAACTGACTTTCTAACCTTCAAGTAGAAAGGGACTTTCAAAGGGAGACTTTACCTCACACCTTAGTTAACAAGTGCATAAATTTGATAGTGAAAAACAATGCATCAAAAATGTCTGAAAATGACCATGTTAAATACAAATATCCTATTGGACATTCAGTAATACACAGAATACTGGACTGGGGATATTGCTCAGTGGTAGAAAACTTGCCCAGCATACACAAGGGCCTGGGTTCAATCCCCAACACCACAAAAAAAAAAAAAAAAAAGAGGGGTGGTAAAAAAATTTATAAAAGCTAACATTCATATTTTAGTAGTCTGAGAAAACATCGTCTTTCTTATAATTCAATGTTATAGTTAGGAGCAGAAACCAAAATTTACAGAAACAAGTATTTTTAAAAAAAATTTTAATTCAGGCTGGGTCTGTAGCTCAGTGGCTGAGCACTTGCTTCGTATGTATGAGGCACTAGGTTCAATCCTTAGCACCACCACATAAAAATTACAAATAAAATAAAAGCATGCTGTCCTCCTACAACTACAAAAATTTTTTTAAAGATTAACTCCTTATGTTACTGTGACTTATCAGTTAATAAAAGTCATTTAAGGGGCTGGGGTTGTGGCTCAGTGGTAAGTGCTAGCCTACCATGCATGAGGCACTAGGTTCAATCCTTAGGACCACATAAAATTTTTTTAAAAAATAAAGATATTGTGTCCACCTAAAAAACTTTAAAAAAAAGGTCATTTAAGCATAGAAATTCCGATGATGAAGCTTTAAATTCTGGCTATTAACTGACCAATAAATAATCCAACTTATAAAGTCAATACTTTAAAATTTCAAAGAATTATTCTTCGTAGTAAGAAGGTCCAAGATATCTATAAGCTTTAGTACTTTTTTCACATCCATATATATTGAAGAAAGTTAACTGGTTATATTAAAAAGAAATCAAGACTGAACCACTTCTATTTATTTGGAGACTGGCAAATATCAGTAATGACTTTAGATTGCTTGAAAAATCTGACCCTATTAATAAACGAGAGGTAGATAAACAACTACTTACAGACATTGGGATCAGAAAACAAATCCAATTCTTCATAGTATAATTACAAAATAAATGGTAGTATGATTCAAAAATTTTGAAGAAAACTCTTAATTTTTTTCAATAGACCTTTAATTTCTAATTTAATCCCCGACCCCAAATCCCTAAACTAGGTTTGTATTACACACATATAAATAACATCAGTATGACTTTAAATTGGAAAAATCCTTAAAAGCTCTGAATAAAAAGCTTAACAAAGTATATAAATGGTTTGAATAAACACCAAATATTACAGGGGTAAACCAAAGATATGTTACTACTTTTAATATTTCATCAGGAAAAAAGTCCAACACTCAATCTCATAATAATACTGCAATTACACATAACATAAGCCTTTAAAATCAAGTTCAGTCAGGCACAGTAGCAGTTTATAATCCCAGTGACTTGGGGGGCTGAGATAGGAGAAACGCAAGTTCAAGGCCAGACTCAGCAACTCTTGAGACCCTTGGTAACTTAGTAAAACCCTGTCTCAAAATAAAAAATAAAAAGAGCAGGGGGTGTAGCTCAGTGGTAAAGCACCCATGGGTTAAAGTCCTAGTATCAGCCCCTTCCAAAAAAAACGTTGAAAGGAAATCCAAAGTCAAATCAAATGTTAAAGAGACATCCATCATCACTAAAGTCATACTAGAGTCATCAGAAGTGCTAATATTCAGTATTCTTTGTAATCTCAAATCAAGTACAGTATGACAGTAATAAAAATTGACTCAATTTATTGAACACCTCTGACAACATGCTTTTATATAAGTCAGATAGTTAATTAAGCATTAGGTATAATCAAAGAAAAAAAATCAGAGAATTTTACAATAACAGAAAAAGAACCAAACTGATACTGAGGACAGAATTTATTCAAACACACAATCAATGAAATTTAGTAAACTAAGTAAGTAAATAATAAGAAATAGGGAGAGAAAAAAAGCATCTATGAAAATCATCTTTGACGAAGGAACTAATAGACAATAGAGTTGATTGAAAAAATTTTAACTCAAGGCTCAAAGGGTAAAATGCTTGCCCATGGTCAGCTGTCTAGCCACAAGTATAGAGATAAACGTTTGAGCCAATTCACACCACATTTTTTAAAAAAATATTTTTCAGTTATAGATAAACCAAATACCTTAATTTTACTTTTTCATTTTATGTGGTGCTTAAGATTGAACCCAGTACCCCACATGTGCAAGGCAAGTGCTCTACCACTGAGCCACAACCCCAGCCCTCATACCACATTTTTAAGAGTACAGGATAGTGAATTCTTCAAGCTATGATAATTATTTTGTGTAATTTATGCAATAAATTATACGTAAAAAACTTATTTTAAAAAGTGTGTTCTATTTAGAAGAAAGGGAAAAAATGTAAAATGGTATTCACAATAGTAATTCTTTTTTAATACAAACACTCGATTTAAAACATTTTAAAGGCAAAAATGTTATATAAAGGGGGAAAAAAACATTCAGAAGGATAACTTACGACTTTGTATGGTTCAGCAAAGAGAGGAGAGCTAGGTGGGAAGGCGTCTTCACCCTGCTGAATTTCCTGATTCCGCCTTTCCCGTTCTTTCATACGCAGCACATTCCGGTCTTCACGGTTCATGTTGCTATGAAGAAAAATACAATTTTTACATCACAAAAACAAAAGCAAAAATTAAATTTTCTGAACTGATTTGGTAAGTCAAACTAGAATCAGAGATTCCCTATTGACTTTCAAGTAATAACAGGGATGAATACTGAAGATGGGTTTTGGCAATGGTTTTTATCAAGAAATACCAAGTGTCTTCCACGCTATCCAGAGAAAAAAACACTAGTCCAGTATATTAGAACCCATCCCCTCTATCAAAAAAGAAAACAAAACAAAACACTTAATTTTATCAATTGTGGATATGTGTGTGTGTGTGGATGTGGATGTGGATGTGTTTGTGGTCCTAAAAGTCGAACCCATCTACCACCGCCTCCCCCAGGGTTCAGTTCTTTTCTCTACTTTGCATCTACCTTATCTTGATTTCTTTCTGTCCCAAACACAGCTTCCTTGGGGTCCATCCTTATGGCAGTTTGTTGCTGTTGTTCTAGATTCCCTAAAAAACGACATTTCTGCTCTAAATATATTAGTATTTCAAGTAACACCTCAATAAACGACAAAACTGAGGGCTTTCATTGACAGAATCTAATATTACCTTTGTTAGTAACTATAATGGAAAATTGTATTGGAAAAGTTCTTTAAGATGGTGGAAAAAATGGGAGCGTCATTTCTACAATCCTGGCAGTATACTGTATTTGCAATAGAAGAAACCAAGGAAAATGGCTTATTTATAAGCAGTAGGGATTTTGGTTAAATAGACAATGATGAAAAAGACTGTCAAACCCTGAGATGAGGGGAAGAAAGGGAGGAGGGAGAGGAGGGAAGAGGAGAAGGGACATGAGGGTGAGGAAGAAGAGGAAGAAGATGACGACAACCTGTTGCATGTCTAGCCTACAATTTTAAAGCAAATCAGAAAATTAAAGACAATCAAGACTGAGGGAAACTAAAATTATAAAATCAGAATGGCCAGCAGAACCAATATACCCTTGAGGATTTTTATTAGTCATTAGAGCATGAAGACAAACATCCAAAAATAAAACTTCCTGATTTGTACAATTTAGACTCATACAAGTGAAGCAATTCTATGTCAAAGAGAAAGAATGTTCTAAGTATTTCAATTTGTATTCAAGTTGTTTCTTATTTGAATAATATTCTAATAAGAATATAAGGTATTGCAAGATATAGAACTATTATATGATTTCTTTGATTTTCCTAATCTTTAGCACCTTACAGAACCAGTAAGTAGTACTGAATCTTTAATAACATAAAATATCAACATTTAAGTATTCAGAGAATAAAACCAAAGAACATATTATCCTTCAGTATATCTGGACCAACTAATACAGTTATAAACATCTACTTTTTATTTTTTAATTCAGTTTATATCATTAACAATCAAATTTCAATTAGGCCTCTTACACTATGGTGCACTCAAGATACAAAGTTATTGGGCCGGGATTGTGGCTCAGTGGTAGAGTGCTTGCCCAAGCATGCGTGAGGCACCAGGTTTGATCCCCGACACCACATAAAAAAAATAAACAAATAAAATAAAGGTGTCCAGGGCTGAAGTTCTGGCTCAGTGGTAGGGCACTTGCCTCGCATGTGTGAGGCCCTGGGTTCGATCCTCAGCACCACATAAAAAATAAATAGATAAGATAGATAGATAAGCAAAGGTATTGTGTCCATCTACAAATATATATACGTGTATGTATACACATACATATATTAAAAAACAGTGTCCATCTATAACTAAATTTTTTTTAAAAAATGCTACAAAGTTATTTAGAGTCTAAAGGGCGCGTTAACTATCACTTTCCTTAAATTTCCTAAATTCAAATATTGACAAATCAAATGTAGGTATATTTCAGTGGTAGAACAAGCACTTAGCATATACCAGGCCCTGAGTTGAATTATCACCATCACAAAAAAAAAAAAATCAGAAAACTTCTTAAACATTAAATATGATTTAATGTTACATAATTGAACAGCGCTAAAATAATCCTTCAAGAAATATTTGTATAAGCTGGGTGCAATAGTAAGCACCCATAGCACTAGTTATTTTGGAGGCTAAGGCAGGAGGTTGGCTTAAGCCTAAGAGTTCAGGGACAGCCTGGGCAATTCAGTCAAATCCCATCTTAAAAAAAAAAAAAAAAAAAATGAGAGAGTTCAAGAGGGATACTGCATTTTTGTTGTAAAAATAGATGTGATTCCCTGAATAAAACTCCTTCTGCAATTTAACACCAAAGAAAATGTTTTCTTTTCTGAAGCAATGAAGTCATGGAACTGAATACTCCATCTTTTTTCTTTTTTAAGTTGTTGATAGACCTTTATTTTATTTATTTATATGCGGTGCTGAGAATCGAACCCAGTGGCTCACACATGCCAGGCAAGTGCACTACCACTGAGCCCCAGCCCCAGCCCAAATATTCCATCTTTTAATAAGACTGCCAGGAAACTGATTGCTTATAAGAATAAATAAATACCCTGGTTATAGATTTTACTTTCCATTTCTTTTCTGACTTATTTTTTGTATATAATTTATGAATTCCATATTTTCCTCCTGTGTCTCTGAATATCAATATCTCTGCCTAAAATAAATTTTAAAAAATAAAGTTTGCTTCCACATGAATAATTCTAGTAATCTCAACTCAAGATTACTAGAAAAGGGGCTGGGAATATGGCTCAAGCGGTAGTGCGCTCGCCTGGCATGCGGGTGGCGCTGGGTTCGATCCTTAGCACCACTTACAAATAAAGATGTTGTGTCTGCCGAAAACTAAAAAATAAATATTAAAAAAAAAATTCTCTCTCTCAAAAAAAAAAAAAAAATTTAAAAAAGATTACTAGAAAAGTATAGCTCTGCTTTTGATATCCCCACAGGACACTTGCAATTATTGTACAGAAATAGGTTCAATTAAAATCAGCACACTGTTACATCATAACAAAATCTGTGGAACTAGCTTTTTGTTTTTGTTTTTGCTTTTTGGTGGTGGTTCTAGAGACAGAATTAAAGGTCTCACATGCTAGGCAAGTGTTCTCTCACTAAGCTACATCCTCATTCCAAGATTAAATATTTTTATTACTTAAATTGTTTTGAGTACCTACACAAAGTATTTATGTTAAAAGGATTCATTAATTATAAACAATACTCTATGAAGAGAAAAAAAATTCAAAGAAATCTTCAACTTTTTTTAGTAGGTTTGGTGCTGGTAATGATAATGGTGTAACAATGAAACTGCTACAATTGAGCAAATGAACAGTAAATTGAGTTTAGAGGAACCACAGATCTTACTATTAGAAAAGAGAGAAATAAATAGAATAAGGAGGAAAAAGAACACTGGGATAGTAGCATTATGAACTTGTAGGTTTAAAATAACATATATAGGGCTGGGGCTGTAGCTCAGTAGCAGAACACTTGCCTACCATGTTGTGAGGCAGTGGGTTCAATCCTTAGCACCAAATAAAAATAAATAAAATAAAGACATTCTGCCCATCTATAACTACAAGAAATTTTTCAAAAAATAAATAAAATAATATGTATACACACACATGTATGTGTATGTATGTATGTATCTCGCTGGCTCTATCCATGTGTATACATACATACACACACACCACATATATACATACATACACACATACATATACATGTGTATGTAGACATATACATATGTGTGTATATACACACACATGCACACACACACACTTATTGCTCTATCCACTGGAAAAGTATAAATACAGTGATATCCAACAGAAAGGAGAAACTCCCACATCTGCATTTTGATTTCTAACATTAGTCCCCACTAAAAAGAAAGAGAACTTCTTGGAGAAATAGCAGGTACCAGGCTGCAGCAGGGAAGGTAATGCTCAAAAACAGGTTAGAGGCATAGCAAAAGGGCACAGGAATCAGCCTGAAGGGGCTCTTGCTGGTCTTAAAAAACATTTCTACATCAAGCCTGGTGCGGTGCATTCACCTGGAATCCCAGCAGCTCGGGTGGCTAAGTAAGGAGGATTGGGTGACTAAGTAAGGAGGATTGTGGGTTCAAAGCCAGCCTCAGCAACTTAGCGAGACATTTAGCAACTCTGTGAGACCCTGTCTCTAAATAAAATATAAAAAAAGGGCTGGGAATGTGGCTCAGTGGTTCAGTACCCTTGAGTTCAATCCTCAAGTACAAAAAAAAAAAAAATTCCACATCAAAATGAACAATGAAAAGAACTGAAAATAAAAGAATCCCTGACTACCCAACCATAGTAAAATAAAAATTAAAACAAGAAAGAAATACCCTTTTTTATGAAATAACAAATGTAGACGAAATAAAAGGATTAGAAAGTCACTGTTTGCAGTCACTGTAGCAATAACTGAAGCAAGAATCATCAATGATGGCATCAAAAACCCATTGAATGAAAAATTTGGGGAAATAGGACATTTAGTATCACCTCATAGACAATTAATTATAAAGAGAAAAAAAATCTTTAAAATAGAAAAATACAGTAAACACTAAATTAACCAAGAGATGAAATATTAATATGGGAGAAACTTACATTATATCTCCTAAAGTGATGCACTGAAGACACATCAACACATAGGTAATCTACAAATAAACCTAATTTGAGGAACCTTCTGCAAAACTAGCCTGAATTCTTAAAAAATACCAATATCATGATATTAAAAAAGAAAGGGGGATGAAGATTAATTCTCCATTAAAAAATAATTAAAACCTACATATAATATATGACCTTTCATTTCCAAAATTCTTGATTCTGCATGAGGATGCTTCTCAAGGACATTACTGGGAAACTTGGGGGAAATATGAATATGGACAGTATTTCAGATATCTTATCAATGTTTCTTAACTATGTTAATCACATTTAGTTATGCAAGAGCTTGTCCTTGACTCTTAGCATATACATACTGAGCAAACACATCATGTTCGCAACTCTCAAATGGTTCAGACTGTCCAAATATATATCTAGTATATTTAGTGTGGTGGGGTGAGGTGAAAGAGGAAAAGGAGAAGGAGGAAC